CTGTTTACATTTGCTTACATCTATCGCATAATATTTCGAATGACGTCATACAGTACAGAATCATCTCATATTATTATGTCGAGTGTACGAAGGGTAAAAGACAGAGAGAGAGAGAGAGAGAGAGAAAAGATTTTGATTGGCCGGTCACGTTCGTTCGGATTTTATGGACTCTTAACAGAGATGGGCACTTTGCAAGGAGGGCCGGGTAGGCGGGGGTGGGTTAGGGTCCTATCTTCTTCATATTCTTCTTATTCTTCTTTCTTGTCTTCCTTTATCCCAACAACGATCCCCGGCATATTCGGCGCCAGTCCAATTTGCGAATCGCTGACCGCGATAAACATACTTATTTTTCCTCTTCCTCCCCCCTCCCCCTCCCTCCTCCCCTCCTCCTCCTCCTCCTTATTACTTGTATAATATTTTTATTAATTTTATTTCTTGGTTCCTTCTTTCTTCTTCCTCTTCTTCTTCTTCTTCTTCTTATTTATTTTTTTTTCTTTCTTTTTTTACCCTTTCTTTATTCGCCTCGTGTTTCGAAATTCTCACCAACGGAGATCCGTTCGTTTGCCATTGTCGACTACTTTCAAATTCAAACCCGCATGAATAATAAAAAAAAAAAAAATGCGAATAAAACAATGAAAGAAGAAAAAAAAGAAAAAGATTAAAAAAAAAGTTGGATTCGTGAAACCCTCCGTTCAAAAAAGAAAACATAATCTGCTTTCTCGAGTTGATGTAGGTGATTTAAAAAAAAAAAAAAAAAAAATAGACAGAATAAGAAATATAACTCAAGCAACCAATCCAAAAAGAAATATCTAATTCGTTGTTTGAGTTTTTTTTTCTTTTTTTTTTTTCGAAATGTTTGAATGGGATTTAAGAAGGGAAAAGATTTATCGTCTTGACTTGTGCAACAACAATTCACAATCAGACACGATGCGATTTCCAATAGGGTGAGAGAGATTTGCAAATTATCTCGATTTATATCTGTCTTTCTCTTTCTCTCTGTTTTTTTTTTTNTGTTTTTTTTTTTTTTTTTCATTTTTTTTTTTTTTTCATTTATTTGCAACCAAAGTTAACACATTTGTCCCAGTTAGGAAACAAGAAAATTGTTTCTTTATGAACAAAAAACAAAACTTGATCTCTTTATTTTTATCTGACTGTTCTATCTCCAACAGGTCTCGCATTATAATAAATCAAATTTGTACCTGTGGAAATTTGTGAGGTAAGCATTATACAATGATGCGTGTGTGTGATACCGGTTATCAAATGAATTCAAAAATCAAAATATTCAATTTCATTGAAAATGTTTCTTAAATATTAGAACAAAAATAAAGACCCTACTACTCGATAGTTTCTTCATTTTCATATTTAAGATAATTAAGTAGTTTTCTTTCTCTTTCTGTGTATAAGTGTGTAATTATGTATACATGTATATACGCAATTTCGAGCAAGATTCTGACGCGTGATGTTAAAACTAAATTTAACACACGTGGATTTATATACGATGACAACGGTGTTTTTTTTCGCGTATTCGCGTTTTTGGTTACTCGTCATCATCGTTGACGGACAATGATAACTACAATTATAATGAAAACGTGTATTATCTCTTTAGTGTGAAATGAATCAAAGTTATAAAATAAGAGAGAAAGGTAGAAATTATAGAAAGGGTTAGAAAGAGAGCAAGCAGCACAATTTATCACGTTCTAGAATCTACATGTTTCAAAAAATTAGAGCACGATGATCTCGAGAGTTGGGTTGGGTGATATGTGTGTATGTGTGTGTGTTCTATTGAAGCCAACAACCAACACTTTCTTCTTTTATTAAAAATTTCTTTTTTTTTTTTTTATCTTTTCACATATATATATATTCACCTATTATATTTCTCTGTTCATTTCTTCTCTCTTTGTATAAATCTCGTGTAAAAGCATGTGTAATATCTATCCAACAAGAGAAAGAGAGAATATAGTTCTTTCTCTTTCTTTTTCTCAGCTAATAATACGTACGACCGTTGCCAGCTAACACGTGTGTATAATATATATATATATATATATGTNTATATATATATATGTATGTATGTATGTATGTATGTATGTATGTATGTATGTATGTATGTATGTATGTATGTATGTATATTCGCTTGAATGCGCCCACGCATCAGCGACGAACATCGTATCGCATCTCATCGTCGTCGTTTCGTCGTTTCATTTCTAGCTTAAATCCCAGGAGATGATTTTAGTATCCCGACGGTTCTCGTTCTAATCGCACCACAAGGTAAAATCCTAAACCCAACAACCAACCAATCAACCAACCAACCAACCAACCAACCAACCAACCAACCAACCAACCAACCAACCAACCAACCCATCTACCTACCGACACGCGATATAATATTCATTCTACAAATCATTTTCTCTCTTATCCTATCCTCGTGAACTTCTATTAGGATTTTTTCTCCTCCTTCCCTCCTCGTGTTAAGTGTAATCACGTATTCACGTATGCACGCACGCACGAACGCATGCATGCACGCACGCAAGCAAACTTAAAACGTGTATCTACAAAGAAGACACAATAGGAGATTAAATCGTTTTTTTTTTATTTTTTTCTTATATATAGTATCGTGAATTTTTTATTTATATCTTTCGTACACACGTACACTCTCTTTCTCTCTTACTTATCATTTTTTTTTCTTTTTTTTTTTTTTTAAGAAAAAGATAAAATATTTTGATCATTTTTATTATCTATTAAATTTTGTAATATATTATAATATATTTTTATTTTTATATATTATATAATATATTATATTAAGAAATATATTTAAAAATGTATATGTATATATATATATATATATATAGATAGATCATAAACAAGACGTAGCGTAATATTTTTTTTAACCATCGTTTCTTTCTTGTTTGCATCCTTTTGATTTTGATTTTTTGATTTTTTTATTTTTATTTTTAAAACCCTCTCTTCTCGAAAAGACGACGACAACGACGACGACGACGATTCAGGTAGAAATATTCGGGAGATATTTTTGAAAGAAAATAAAATAATAAAAAAAAAAAAAGAAAATAAAGAAGAGGGAAGATAAAAAAGGTGAGGGTTTGAGGGTAGGGTGGGAGGAGTAGAGTAAGAAAAAAAGAGACAGAAAGAGAGATAGGAGATAGAAATTTTTGGCCAATATATAGGGCAATCCTTTTTTTCGTGTTAACCCACCATTACGGAGAAACCTGTAGAAGAAACCCCTGCAGCAACGAAAGCAGGGGTCCCAGCTATTTGCCTGAACGGCTACGTGGACAGGTAAGAAATACCTTTTTGTGTGTGCGTTGTGTTTTCTTGTTGTTGTTGCTGTTTTTGTTGAACGGATAAGAATGAAGGGAAGATATTCGAGAAACTGCTATTCCTCTCTCTCTCTCTCTCTCTCTCTTTGCCTGTTTTAAATCCTTTTCAAACCTTCTTCTTCTTCTTCTTCTTCTTATTCTTCTTTTTACCCTCCTTTCTTTTATTTTTTATTTTATTTTATTTTTCATTCGTGTATCCCCGTCAATGGGTGAGTCCTTACAAGGGCATCTAGTTAAAAAAAAAAAAATTTTTTTTCTTTGCTTTTGACGAATGCTGTGTGTCACATATTCATGTGTATGTATTTATGTATGTGTGTTAGTGAACATCTGCTGAATTTAAAGCTACTATTCCATTTGAAAACGTTTGTGTAAGGTTCTTCTATTCTATGCACATATGTTGTATTATATGTGTTGTATATATATATATGCACCTTGTTCTCTTCTTCATTCGTGCCAACTTTACGTTTCTTTAATTATCTCGCGAGCTCCTCCTTCCCGTCCTCGTCTCTGTCGCATATCTTTCTATAGTAATATCTTTCAGAAGGTCAAGATCCCCTTATTATTATTAAAATTATGTGTGAACATTTTCCAACAAGTTTTCTTCAAAATTACTTAACATGTTTTTGTTTTTTATCTTTAAACTGGCTGTGTAGGGGCTGTGTCACAAGATTTTATTTATCTATCAGGTTTAATTAATCGATAATCAATAACGTGTTAACGTGTGTTAACATAGATATATCAAATTTATTTATTTTAATGATGATATTAAYGATCAATTAGTGTGTTCTTATCAAATTACAACTTTGTTAATTCGTTCATTCGTTCATTCAACGTTAAACCTTGAACTTGAACAACGTATACTTATTTTTGATTAGTGTTAAAGTGAAAAAAAAGAAAAAAAACTTAATCGTTATTTCTTATCTTGTAAGAAAATGAAAGAGAGAAAGAGATAGTTGAGAATGAAAGGTGAGTGAATCATGCAACATTTTCAAGATTTATCATAGTGATTTTGTATGATAATCTTATCTTATTTTTCTTTTTCTATCTTTTTCTCTTTGAATTATACTTTTAAATTGATCACTATTATCGATCAATTTATTATCGAATAACTAGGATAAATATATATATGTACATACGTGTAGTAATAATTCATGATTATTATTTGCATTGATTTTCGATCGTGTTTACTTTTTTTCTATTCTCTTATTTTATATTCGTGAATCACGATTGGACGATCAATATTCATGATAACTATGCTTGACGAATATTACCAATCGTTCATCGTTATATAAGAAGGATTATTGTGTACTAGGACACAACGATTACTATACGAGTTTCTTGGTTTTGTATTGGAAACTGTGAACAATCTTTACAGACACGTTGTCTCGTTTTCTTTATTTGCAATCACTCAAAAGTATGTCGTAAATCATGGTGAAAGTTTCCTAACATTGTTTTTCTTCAAATACTATATATATATATATATATATACTATATATAAAATAGTATTCTATATATGTAATATTACTAGATGATACTGTATATAATATGTATTGTATAATACTACAAATAAATACTATATTGGAAAATCATTATTACATTTATTTCTAATTTAATTCTTTTATTTGTTTTTGATTAATAAATGTTGTTATTATTTTTTTTTTGTTACAGCCTGAGCGAATGTTACTTCGCAGGGAAAGGTGCAGCCCTAGTTTTACCACCAAACGAAAGGGCCCGACCCTCGAGGAGAGTATCCGCTGCAGGATGCGATATTCAGCAACATTTACAGTCCATGTTTTATCTTTTGAGACCGGAAGAAACCTTGAAGATGGTGAGTATTGTTTTCTATCTCACATCTTTTTGATTTTTACACGTGAAAAGAAAATAATACATCGATGTATAAAAAAAAAAAAAAATAAATAAAATAAAGTAACGTAATCTCTAATTCCGCGAATATCGTGCCATGAATTTGGCAATGGATCCACGTCATATTATTATTACTCGCGTGTAAAACGTTATTTATCAGAAAATAAAATAGAAAAGAAAAATCAGATAGAAAGTGATGAAAGATCGTTTGACGTGTGCATCGGTAAATATAAAATCGGCAAAATATTTCTCAACGATCGAACGAGCATATATATATATCAAATATCACTTGCGTAAATTCGCGACTAAACTAACGGTGTAATTTTTGCTATAGATATTTCAAATATGTCTCTCTGTGTGTGTGTGTGTTTATGTAAAATATACTTACATACTTATGCAAGTAGAATAGTAATGCAGAATGCAATAAAGACGACGTTGTTTTCTCAAAATCGTAATCGCCACGTGCATTTGATATTTTTCGAAGGGTAGGTGGGTGTCAAAGGGGGAAGGGGGAGAAGGAGGAGGAGGAGGAGGAGGGAGGGAGGGAGAGAAATTGGCAAGCAGAAACGTGGTGGCATGGTTTCTTTGGCTGATCTGTGTCATTTCTGTTTGATAAATCGTTACCGATATCATTCTATAATTATTTATGATGTTAGACATGTATGTTTTATTACTGTTTGTTTGAATCAGTTAGGAAATTCTCAAATGCAGTCTTTTAAACATTTTTATTTTTTTTTTATTTTATTCACGTAGCTGAAAAAAAGGGAAGGGGGGAAAAGAAAATATAGGTGTGTCAATTTGATCGAGAATCGTGTTTTATTCGACAATTTTCGGAAATATACGAATCAAGGCAACACACACACACACACACATCGACCTGGAATTTTTCACGTGGGTTCGTCGTCTCGTCTGGTCTGGTCTGGTCTGGTCTGGTCGAGTCAACGAATAAGTGGGCTAAAGGCGACTCGCATATGTTGCGTTGTGTTGTATGTTGTATATGTTGTATGTTTTATACTATGGGGTCGCGTCGAGGAAGGCAACGGGCAACAACGAGGTCGCGGCCGATGAGAAACGAGTACTTCCGGTCGTGCTTTGCGAATAAACATGAGACGATGACGACACAAACATAAATACAGACACTGACACTGATACAATCATGAACAACGATAAAATTGATTTTCTTTCTACTAGCAAATTGATTCCTTTGCATGGGTTCTTCGAAACTTTCGAAAATGAAAAAAAAAAAAAAGAAAAAAAGAATAAAATATAATACTCTAAGGATTTTGACGAATGAAGACAAAGAGAGGAAGGGATAGAAGAAAGTCCAGTTTTAAATTGCTTGAGGGGAGTCAACCTTGACATGGGTTCGTTCGTTGAGTGATATATAGTACATTCGCGAAATAACGGGAGGCTTCTTACGGTTTTAAGTGTCAACCTCGACCCACTCTTGATTATTTGCCGCCCTCGTTTTCTTTTACTAGTAGTAGTAGTACTTTGCTTAGGGTGAAAATGTTTTTTCTTTTTTTCTTTTTTTGTCTTTTGTGTAAAATTTTTACCGTCATTTTATCATAGTAAAAAAAAATGCATTCTTAATTATTTACCTTTTACAATACTTCGAGTTATATTATGTTTATTGTGGAAAAATGTATTCTTTTTTCTTATAGAGAGAGTTCTTTCTCATTTTTTTCTTACCATCGTTAAAATGTTTCCTCATCATTTTATCAAGTTAGAAAAATTCCTATTGCATTTGTATCTCATTCGTTGATAGTCGATCGGTAAGTAAAGTTTTCTCGAGAATACGAGAAGAACGCGAAACTGGTCCCTTACAAGGATAACGAGGTAAGGGGGACGTACGATTCGCTACAGGTCGTTTCGACGACTGCTTTTCAGAAAGGGAGGAGAAGTTGAAGGGAAAGAGGGTGAGGGTGAGGGAGAGGAAGAGGGAGAGGGAAAGGGGCCCCGTTACTTTTTATGCCTCGCACTTAAACTTACGACTCGAACGTACCCAACAACAACCAACTTTGCCTTCGGGCAAGTTCCTTTTATGCGTAAAGTGTCAGCGACCTCGAAGACCATTAAACTTCTCTTCTTGCTTATCCACTTCCGGTGCTAGTGATGATGATGATGATGACGATGATGATGATGGTCGTGCTGGTAGTAGTGGTAGTCTTACATTCGTGTACAGTCACTTCGGGTTCTTCGTCTTTCATAAATTTTCATTAATTTCGGATCAACTTGTATACGCATGACCGATCTTCGATCTTAAGTATCTAACTTGTGGGCTTTTACGATCTTGCTTATGTATTATATAACCGTATAAATGTTTATATAGTTAAATGTATATATAGTTTATTCTAGAGTATATTGAAATATATTTTACTGTGTGTGTATGCTTGATTTTCTTTTTATTAGGAATAATATATTATAACCCCATATATATATATATATATATATATATATATATATATATATAAGTGCATACAATATAGTATAGTATATAGTATCAATATAAGTACACATATGTATATATTGAAATATATTATTTTTTTTATATTATTTACTTTTTATCAGGAATAATGTATTATATCTTTCAGAAGTTTTAGATTTACCATAGTTATATATATATATATATATATAAAACTAAATAAATAGATGAGATATCTCTGTCTCGTATTATTATTATTATCATTAGTATTATTATTATTAGACTTAAGTTCGAATAATGAGATAAACTTATGCGAATGGAACAATCGCGATAAATTATCGTTAGCCCACGCGTGTATAGTTTGCTGCGCGGCATTGCGCGACTTTGCTTCTTTTCCGGGGTTGCTGTATAAGAGGGATCGTATTTTATTAAACGACGAGATAAAATCGTTCTTGTAAACGCGAGAATGATCTTTCCTTTTCTTTTTCTATCTGTTAGAGATTCAAATAAGCGAAAATTGTTTGACCGTGACCCTTGAAATCGAATAGAATCGAATAAAATCATCTATTCGTGTGGGAAACTTACATAACTTCAAGAACATGATTTATCAATTTCAAATGATTCCTGATTGATGGATGGGTGAGTGGGTGGTTCAATGAGCGTTATATCATCTTGATAATTATTTTAAACAAAAAATAAAAAAACTAGAAATAAAAAGTACAAACCTTGTCTTATTAATTTCAAATGGTTCTTAATTGAGGGGTGGGTGGGTGGTTGGTTGGTTCAATRTACGTTGTATCATCTAGAAAATTGTTCTACATAGATAAATAAAAAATAAAAATAAGAAGGATGGTAAGAAATGATAGAAAAAAAGATAAAAAAAAAATAAAATAAAATAAAAGCAAGGCGCAATTTCAATTTCGATGTTCGCCGATCGAAACTAGGCTACCGCGAGCCACTCGAAGGAGATAAAACGAGTTTTACGACTTGGCTTCTGGCTACCTTCGTCTCTTTCTTGAGCTCTCCAGTTAACCCTCCCCCTTTCTGCCTCTCACCCCCTTCACCCTTCTCTTTCTCTTCTTTCTGTTCTCTCTTACACGCTCGACTTATCGTTCGAGAGTATTGAACAGCCACACCACAGTCAACCAAGCCAGCCAGCCAGGCAGCCAGCAAGCCAGCAGGCCAGGTCGCTTCATGAAAATTCATTTTGTTTCCCCTTACGCCAACACGCTCGCAACTTTCAACGAGGAATTGGAGAACGAAAGGAAATTTTAGTCTCTTTCTTTCTTTCTTTCTTTCTTGCCTTTTTATAATGGACCTCTTCCTTTTTGTATTCTTCAATTACAAACTGTAATTTGTTAGTGTTGGATACTTCAATGCAAATGCTAAAACCAACCATTGATCAAACCAAGTATTGATTCAAATGTTAGATTTTTTTATTTCAATGAAAACTTTGTATTTAATCTTTCTCATTCTTTTGTTTTTTTTTTAATTATTTAAATAACGTTAGGATTTATCACAGGAAAGGTAGGCGGGAGGGGGTGTAATTTATGCGTACAGCTTTGATCCTCGGTAAATTAAAAAAAAAAAAAAGAAATAAAATAAAAAATACGTAGCAAAGGAGTTTATCGTATCATCGAAGATTCTTCTTCGTTTTTCTTACCAACCCTTCTTTCCCTCTCTTTCTCCTTTCTTCTACATCCCTTTACGTATTCGTAAACCCACGGTACCGTAAGTTTTAAATGCTTTTTCTTATCTAATGGCCGGATAGCACAAAGTGAACGTTCGCGTTTAACAAGCCTTACCATACTTACGTACCAACAACGCAAAACTCATATGTACATAATACACACGCACATACACATATGTATATATATATTTATATATAGAGGAGAGGATATATATTTACTAGAACATTTACACAGTTAAAATTGATGGTGGTGGTGTATGAAACGAACACCAGGTAATGTTCCGATGTATCTTAGCTTTCTTATTCGTGTTACCTGTTCACCTTCGGCTCAAGCAGGATGCCGGGAATTCGCAAACGCACCTCACCGGAGACGTAATCGTTCGCAAATGTGACGCTCGGCCAAAGTATAATAAATAATCAAGTAAAATGTCAATCTTGCGTTTATTCCAGACAAATTTCATAAACGGTTTCATTTTTATATTTATTTCATTTGTTTGTTTATTTTTTGGTTTTAACAAAATTCTTTTATTAATAGGATATATATATATATATATTCTTTTAATTATCCTATGTAAAAATTATTGATCAAAAAGTTATTGTTGTTATTGTTGGTGTGTACATGGAGTTATGTGTTGTAAATGTAAGTAGAAGAATAGTGTGTTGGTGGCATACTTTCGTCACGGTTAGGGAAACGTGACGTAGAAAATGACTCCGTGTCTGTTGCACTCTACACGTGACTTTGACAGCTACGTATAAATCGTGAAAGATATAAAATAACAGATAGAGATGATAGATAAATAGATAGAAAGAGATATAAATTAGTTGATAAACATATTTTGAATGTCATTCA